ACCAGACTACACCACGCAACAACCCAGAAGACAGAAATCTTCATACTCACCGCTGTGAAAACCTCAAATTTTATATAAGCTTCAACATTAAATAGCTCTCGAGCCGTCTTCATCGGAACCATAACGCATTTACCTTGTGGCCTAAGGCGAATTCCGCCTCCAAATCTCCGCCATTTTCATCACCGAACATGGTGGAGTCTACATCACAAGATCGAATTAATATGGAGGCAGTGTGTCATTACTGAGAATATCTGTAGTTTTCCTCAGTCACCTAAACAAATGTGACAATATCTATTTACGCAAAATGCGTTTCATATTCTCCCACCAGCGTCGAAGTCCCGAAAATAGCAACATCTTTAACACACTTCGTACGCCATTTGAATCTTTAAAAAATAATCTGTTTCTTCTAATCCCCTGTTCATTATGTTCTAACTGTTGTAAAAACCTTAATTTGTCCCACCCTTTCTTATGGCAGTTTGTGACCGAATTCGTAACAAGACGGACAACAAAGGGGCACCACTGATATAAAAAGTAATACATTAATATTAAAGCAACACCTAAAACTTCCAGTCCCAATAAAACCATAAACTGATTTGTTCGAACGAAACATTATCCACGAACCTGTACTGGTACTGACAAGAATCTCAGGACAGCCACTTCGCTTTGGGGACAGACATAATAAAGACCTTTGAAACGTCGGCAATAACAGGCTACATCTACATGTTACGATATCCTAGAAATGGAATCCAAATTCTCCATAAAAGCTTGAAACTTTCAAGCATCCTTGACCCCGGATCTTTTACAACTATGGCAACTCTGAGGAGGGCTGCTCCATTAATACCATATGTTCAGCCCATCTCATCATCGATTTGATTACCCTAATAATATTTGAGTACAAATTATTATATATATCCATCGTAATCCTGTTACAATCAACCGCAGTATCAAATGTTTTTCCGAGAAGTCCTTTTTATCGTCGGCGTCGTCACCATCTTAAATGCTCCCATAGAAATGTTTTACACATTTTGCTGGCCACATGGAAATATAATGCGTTAATTGCAGGATGCAGTATCGGAATAAACAGTGACCTGCCCGAACCACAACCACTGCTTCTAATCCCAGGAGGCAGTAAGGATGGGAACGGATTCTTCGTGCCAGATGATGGTGACGACATCGTTACATTCGGTGTTGGACAAGACGTGCTCTTAGCCTGCCCTGGCACCAATAATTATTTGGCATTTGCAGGTTTTGGCACAAGGATTGCACTTGCAACATGCAGCTCTGGCACTACATTTTACATTAATTCAATTCCTTACAGCTTCTCAGACTTTGCATGTAGAAGTTACCCTTACCACACTGCCAGAAGATCTGGCAGCACATGTCATGATGGTACCAAAAGCCATATAGAGATCGGGTTTGAGGTTGAGTCCGACTTTTATAAAACCATAGATATCTGTTTTGATGATAACGTACTTAATACCCTGTACAGCAAATTCACGCTGGTATCTGGTATTGGCGGTTACCAGATTGGATTTCCACGGCCGAGTTTCTTAGAAGACGACTTCTACCCTGGAATCCCAGTAGACAACCTCTACACCAAAAACACGCAACGGCAGACAATCAGTAATATCCTTGGCTCAACACAGCTGGGTAACACGTACATTTCTGACACGACCGATTATTATCTCGCTAGGGGTCACTATACAGCAAAAGCTGATTTTGTCTATGGTTCCCAACACAGAGCAACTTTCCATTTTGTAAATGTCGCCCCACAGTGGCAAACTTTCAATGGAGATAACTGGAATTCACTTGAGATGAGTGTAAGGACTTATGCTGACAAGAATAAACTTACTCTCGACGTGTACACTGGAACGCACGGCGTCTTAACGTTGCCGGATATTAACGGGATCGAAAAAGAGTTGTATTTGTATGTTGACAACAACAATAACAATGGTATTCCTGTACCAAAACTATTCTGGAAAGCAGTTTATAATCCCAAGACCCAAGCTGGCGTTGTTTTCGTGGGTGTCAACAACCCGTACGAACCTAATCCAGAGGAAAATTACGTGATTTGTACTAATGTTTGCTCAAACATTTCTTGGCTTCAGTGGGATGAGAAAAATGTTAAGAAAGGATATTCATACTGTTGTGAAGTTAATGATTTTAGATCCACTGTTAATACACTCCCAGAGTTAACAGTAAGCAGTCTATTAACTTAATCAGTGAACGGAAGCAGGAACTGTTCACAGAGCCGATGGCAATAAATAAGCAGAACGAATGACTGAATGTTCTGAAATTTCTGTAAAATTATGGATTTATATGGGAAGTATAATTATTCAAGAAAATGTACATGACTTATATAAATATACTTGAAACTACAATACTAGCATAATATGGAAACTTTTAATTTTTACTGTTCTGCATAATCATGTCTTTTCAATATTTGTACAAAGCTCTAGTTTTTAATAAAGTCACTGGTACGATATCAATAACTGCTAAGTGTGCACCGACAAAAGTACCGATCGCAGTTGCTTACTACGCATAATTTCCAATTCATCAATCATAATCATTACTCAGTAGGATTTGAGGTTGTCATGGCAATGCGTAAGAAGATGGCTGTCTTCTGGGCTGTAACGCCGTGGAGTCTGGTAGCATTAGCGGAAATTCTACCAACCACCAGTCTACACCTATCTTCATCCCACGACTCAACGCTACATACAATATGTTTCCTAAAATTTCAAATATTCATTCAGATACAGTACAGTAAATGCCCTCACCAGGAACTGAACTCAAGACATTTTTACCTGGAGTTCTGACCACCTTATGTTTGCTTCCTGGATCCAAGTAATAAGTATGCCAAGTTTGGTGAAGTTGGTTTATACCTGCTCGAGCTATGAACGAACATACAAACATAAACAAATTCAACAAACAAACAAACCCACAATTTCAAATTTATATGTAAGATACTTAACAGGTGTTTCTACAGACGAGCTCAAACAGGTTTAAATATGTTCAATCAAAATTATATTTTAAATGGCTTGACAATTTGTCTTAAAATTCTCCAATATAAAATTCAATCAAAATCAGTTTATCCGTTCTCGAGTAATTTCGTGCATACAGACAAACGAAGCAAGCTTAGTATTCATTCCACTGAAATGTAAACTGCAAAGTAAAAGTGTATTTTACAGTATATATTTTACAATACTTAATTAATATGACAACGATCAAGGTTATTACAATTAATACACATGTATTCAAGTAATTACATTCAATAACAGTATATTTTTAATTTACTAAATAAAACACTTTGGTCATTACAGACAATACTATAACTTGAAAACAAAATAATCTTACGAAAATGATCATCAATATGTATGACTAGAAATTAAGAAGCGATTATCACATGTTTTTTCTAGTTGGCAGCATTGCTTTATATGTTGGAATATATAACACAGGTATTTCAAAAAATGCAGGTCGCTTGCTACATTTCTGGTGTGAACTTTACTCTGTTATATAAAATTCTTACTTTGAAAGTCTAAATCTGACAGTCGATCATAAACACTGTGTGTTATACAGAAAGATATTCTGACATTAATATTTCATTGAGACATCCTTATTATCAATCAGCACCACAAAATGAATACTGTAACAAGCGTAAGGATAAAATGCCTAAAAATGCTGGTAAAAGAAATAAGGTACTTTAAAAAGCAAGAATTCAAGAGAAACAAGAAAGATTTCACAAATTACATCGCTTTCAGAGGACATTTTCTGGGGCGATGATGAGAGCAGACTGGAGAAAGGTGTTTTTTTATGGATTAGTGCAGAGAGCTACAAACGCGAATAACAGAAGGTCATTTTATATTTTTAAACATTTTTATATCTACTTATTTGCTGTTCGTTTAATGATGTTATTAGCAATTCAAACTGAAAAGTCAAATCATATAATTATTAATGAATAAATAACTTGAAAGGATATGGAAGGAAGCAACTATGACCTAATCAAGGTCCTATTTTGGCATTTGCCTGCAGAGACTGATAAAAACTATGAAAACTGAAGGTTCATTACCGAGTTCATAAGAGCCCACCCCCAGTCCCTTTTGTGAGGTAGATGAATCCAATTCACAACCCTTCTCAACCTATTTCCCTAAGATGCATTTTAATATTATCATCCCATCTGTGCCTACATCTTCTGGATCATCCCTTCCCATCAGACTTTCCAACCAAAATTTTGTATGTACTTTTCACGTTCCCTATGCATGATACATAATCCATACAGCGGAAAAGGTACTGTTAAATAACCAAAGAATCATCAATAAATAAAATCTTATTTTACTTTATAATCCATGCAGACATGCTCTAAATAATGAAAGAAGTATGTGACATTTTAGAAAGTACGCTGTCTCGAACAGCAAACACAATAATTTAAGTCTAGTACCATCTAAAATTAACGGACTGCTTCCATTACTGTGGATTTAAAAATGTTATAACGATGTGTAACTCTTTTTAAAAATATTTTAATTTTAAATTTAATTTAATTTTTAATAATTATATTTAAATAAGAATTGTAAATCAGAACAGGCTTGATGCCTAGACCACGAACTGAAGATGATGAAGAAACAGAAGAAGAAAATCTAACAGTTATTCTAAGTGTATGTAGATAAAAAATAAATTTGAATATCTACAGCAAGGTTTTCTCAAGCTTCTTCGCTGGCATACCACTAATTCTAACTGAACACATTAAATGTACCACAAATAAAATGCATTCAAGGAAAACTGTTATTTATGTTTTCGATTTTCTTACTTAGTTCATGTACCACTCAATATTGGGTCGCGTACCACCATAGGTTGAGAAACGCTGTTATACAGGATAATACTGTGTTATGAATTTGATACAAAACAAACCATTATGTGCGCTAATGTTATCTTCCATTTGGTGTTTCGTAAATTAAGAAAGTCTATTCTTGACAAAATATTAAATTACTTTGTCTGACATAACTTCACAGAGATAAATGCTAAGTACTGCAATTTCAACTCTTCTAATAACAGAGTAGATTTTTAACATAATACTACTGATTTGTCGAATATTTCATGCTTCTGATTACACTTTCTTCCTTTATGACTAACAAGCTCATTTAAAATATAGTCATTTACATAATTTTACTCTATGAATCATAATAATAAAAATTCAATACAAATATCTAAATAAGTTACTTTAAATTCTAATAGTACCATGCATCTAACATTGACTGGCACCAAAAATTAAATTTAAGGAAATCCCAGCTGTGTCAACATTAAGTGACTATGAAAACAGCAGCGTGTTCCAGCAAATTCCATTAACATAAAAAATATGGATGTTTAACAGTAAAAAAGTTAATTACATCACTACAGATTAATCAGTTTGCCAGTTTTAAGTCATCAGAGAACTAGCTGGCTAAAACACATCAAAGTAAATTTCTTGTAGCCAGTCTAAGTCACTGTAAACATGAAGCACGGCACTTTGCCGTCAAAGGCAATTTTAGCCCTCGTCATTTCATCATAACTTTATTTCTTAGCTTCACAACCTTAGTTACAGAGAGACACACAAGAATAAGTCCCCTGTGGTTTCTGACACCTGTACATCAATTACTCCATTGTTCAGCAATTTCACTGTTTCTTCTAGAGGTCACTTGGTACTTATTTTTGATAGATCAATGTCCGAAATACAACTGGTTCATCTTCTGGGCATAGCACAGTGACAACAAATAAAAATAGTACTTAGGGATCAACCCTGAATACAAAGACAGCAGGTTCTTCTGAACATCAACAGTACTTTCATTCCTTGACATGATGCTATGTTAAAAAGATGACACAATGAAAAGTGATCATCCTGAAAACTTCAAATGCCATAAAATCTTTACATTTTCTTTCTCAAAATTTATGTGTGGGGTCTGCAGTGGCCGCGCGGTCTGAGGCGTGGGCCTTGTGCCGCTTGGTTCCTGGGACCGTGGGTTCGAATCCCATTCAAGCCATGAATGTTTTTCTGTGTTTTGCTGTAATGTGTACAGGTAGAGGCCTTGCGACGGGCCGATCACTCGTCCAAGGAGTCGTACCGAATGTCCATAGATCAAGCCAACTAAAAAGCTGGGGACCCGTAAAGCGTACCGGAAAGTGTACAAACATTGTTAAACCGGAAAAAGAAGAAAATATATGTGTATCAAGTTGATATGTGGCCTCTAGTAATAAAAATACTTGACTCTAGTTGAGTAAGACAGTCAGATGAACTGTATAAAACCACGGAGACTTAATCACTGATATTCTCACATTACACCACCTCATAAGATGAAGTAGCCAATTATGGCACATCTCATTTCATGTCCAGATGTTTAATCCAGTGAAATGCCCTGAATCCACGAACTCAGGTCACTGGTACCCTCACACTCCAGCACACGTTCCTGTGGTGAGTCAGAGCCGAGAAGCAATTGCGCTGCACTGCGACCAGTGAGATATGCTCCATGTACTGTGGAGTAGAAGCTGCTGTGCGTGTGTTCACCAGCGAACAGCAAAACCGGCTGTAAATGCAATGTTACTGTATGGAGGGGATATCAGAGCAAGCGAGAGAATCTGCTGTATGACAAATCCAAATCACTCGCAAGAACAACGGAGTGAATTAAATCACTGCACGCATATTGACTGACATTTACTATAACTGAATGCCAAAGCAGTACTCATGCATGTCCATTTGTCATAAATTCATAGTCTGAACTTGTTCTACATCACGCTTTGTCACGAACACCTACAAATATGCATTATTCTACACCCACACAGCTATTATTTGTAGAAACCAGAGGTACCTTAAGTGCACGTCTTTCTCATTTACTTCTGAAGCTAAATGAATACATTCCCTTATTTTTAAGCAGGATTTACACCAAAGCAACCAGTAACAAGCTATCAGAAATGCACGATATATTGCTAGCATATTCACGCCTAAACGACCAAAGCAATACAATTACTAGTTTGTGGCTGAGTGGTTAGCATTCCCGTTTCATATCTAAGGTTGAAATCTCAGTCCATAGACTGGCAATCCTGACTGAAGAATTTTGTGGGACTCCTCAATTCCTCTAGGAAACAACCATAATAGTACCTCACATAAGTCCACAATCGTTTCCTTCCAAACCTTTCCGATTCATTACTTACTAATTATTCATCATTCAACACTACACAGTTTGAGATACTGACAGTATCATTAAATAAACATGTAAACAAATACAAAAATAGAATAGACAGTATTAACTTTAGAAAGATGTTTTATGTAAATGGGAGGCGAGTGGAAGTAGTTCCAGATCATGTTCGATGGTCGACTTTGGTATTAGTAGTGGATTTTAGTTAGTCAGTCAGTTTATGATATTTGCACATTAGATATACCATCAAAATTAATTACAGAAGAAAACAGAGAACTTCGTTAGGTGCCAACTGATTTATGTCAGTGTTAATGTTATCCTCCCAGCTCCTTCTTGGTTTCAGAGGTCATACTGCCTCCGTCATCAGGGCGATGAATTTTGAAGATTAATCAAATTTTTCGAAGAATCAAAAAATGTATGAAAATGACCAAAAAGCTCACAAAAACAAAAACAAAAACAAAAACAAAATTCAAAAATGCCAAATTCAAAATTTCAGTCAAAAAACTCGGAAATTTTTAGACTGAAATTTTGAATATTCATCGCCCTGATGACAGAGGCAGTATGACCTCTGAAAAACGTTGGTTAACATCGACCAGACTACACAGCGCAACAACCCAGAAGACAGAAAGCTTCATATATTTCTTGTCTCCCCACCCTAGCTACACGCCCAGGTCATGATCATGTTCTACTGAAATCAATTTCCTAACAGTTGGAGACTCGAATATCAGAGGAAGTTCTTCAATATGCAAAATCATACACTGTCCACATACTTCATACATTACAGGTCAAATTATTTTCCTGCCATCTGTAATTTATGTTCTTCCCTCAACGTAAGAGGCCATATTTCGCACTAGTTAAAAATAACAGGCGAAAATACTGTTCTGTATTTTTTCTGAGCATTAGTTTAGAATACCAATCTTAGTAGCAGATACAGAAAAGATGAACACTTCACATGGCTACAAACGCATTCTCTATTTATCTTACTTGTATTAGGAGGTTGGATGGCAAATATGCCAAACATCCTGAACTAAAATGGTACTAGAAACCTTACCTTCTTCTGCTGTGGACTGGAGTACAGGGGTTGTGCCAAGTTCTCAATATCAAGCTGACTGGCGCCAACAGCCATGGCAGTATATGAACCTCTTGTGTATGGCTGTGTATGCCAACTTGTACTTCACGTAAACAGAAATGGAGACAAGTATAAGTGATGTAGTAATAGGAAACTACAATGTGCTGGGAATTTAGCAACGACAGTTGAGATTAAAAAGTGCATACTACACTGTGATTGGGAGACAATGAGAAATGGTCACTTGTAAGACAATCATTTCAATGTTATAGTTCTACGTGGTACAACAATAACGGAACGTGTTATACAACAGATTTAGCAGACAGAGAAAAAGAAACATAAACATTAACATATTTCAATCAAAGTGAAATTTGATAATGTCGGTTTCCGATAGGGTGCATGGCTGTGGATTGGATTAATCTGCCTCAGGATAGGGACCTATAGCATACTCTTGTGAACATGGTAATGAATCATCAGGGTGCCTCAAAGGTAGAGAATTTCATGTCAAAACAGGACTCTATTCCACAGAGGCGGTTCATATGATGAACCAAGTCACTTTGGTGGGATACCCATGCAAATTATCACAGAATATCTCAAGAATACCAATGAAATATCCTTTTGTTGTGTTGGCAATAATATACAATTGGATGGCTTACCAAATGCAAAGTTTTGGTTTTGGCACGAAGGGATCACTAAGGAACTTCCTGAGGATGGTTGTGCATGTGTCAGCCACTTGGTCATGGGACAATGTCTCCATGTATTCAGCTTCCTGACCTGAGATCCAGCCAAGAAGCAGCGTCTCAGACACTTTGGAGAAGGAGTAGATTTTGCGGTACCAAGTTTCACTCAGGTCACCTGGAAACAGAAATGTTTGTCAGTACTGCATTACATTAAATAAAGAATGAATAAAAACATAGAGGAACCTTAGGCTATTTGCATTACCAAGTATGCTTAGTTCTCCAAAGTGGTCTCTTCACTTCGGGTTTTCTGACAAAAATTTTGTTTTGGTTTAATTGCCCCAATAATGTTTTGTGCAGAGTACAAATGAGTCTATACATTATGTAACTTCCTCCACTTTCCCATTTATTTATCTCTCTCAGATTCATGTTTTCCTCAGCACTTTATTCTCTGAACCCTCAATATATGTTGTTCTTACAGACTGGAAGACCGAGTGTCCACCTAGCAAAATTAATCCTTAAGCTTTCAGGCAGAGGATGAGTAGACACAAGATTTTGGACTGAAAGATAGCAAACAATCCTTAAATTTAATCTGCTCTCAACTTCACTGCAAATTCCATATTTCCATCCTTTTATCATCATTACATTTATCCTCAACTACTATCTTTAGCATATATGTGAATCTCAGGCTACCGCATCTCTAACTACTGATTTTAAATTAAAAGATATTCAAAATGCATACGCAATCTTATCTTCATTAAAAAAATTGTTGGAATGTAATTAATCTCACTCACAGACATATCTAACAAATCCCACAGTCAACTTCATTATTTTTAGTCATCAAGCAAAGTACAGTCAAAATGTAATGACAATATCCCATTTCTTATGTGCACAGCAAATTTTCACTAGAATTATGACACACCTACTCCACGCTTTTGAACAGATGCCATGTTATTTCATACAACTCCAATTAATTTTCTACCATCAACAATACCAATGTGGTTACTGTGCAAACTTCAGAGGTGGGAAGCCCACTAAAAGCCCCTGGTCCTCCAGGTTGGGGGTTGGTTGCAAGGCTAACAACCTTGCACCGTAAAAATGAAGATGTTTCGAAACCTCGATCAAAGCCTCGGACAGACGGACCTAACAGAAGACAGTATGGAAGAGGAGAATTGAGGAGGCCATGGACTGAATATGGACCAGAGATCCATAGAAAAAGAAGAAGAATGACCCATAACAGTAAAATTTTATATGTGATGTGACATTAAATTATTTATAAATTCTGTATAAAACATCTCTTCCATACTGAGAATTACAAATATGGTACCAGCAGACAAGATTCAGAAAGTTGATAAACAACAGAACATCAAACTGGAGTATTACATTCAAGATGTGAAGAATGTGGGATTGCAGATTACCACTTTTGTGTCATGCCACATTTTAAAGGTTGCAGTTCATTTATTTCTATCTAGACATAAATGGATGATGGCTCTATTGAATGCTGACATGCTAAGCACCATGATAAAATAATCTCAACAAATTCTTTCAATTATCTCAATGACATGAACAAACAAAACAAACTGTACACAACGCATACATTATTTCACCATTCTGAGAATTATGGCAGTCAGAACAGCAGGTTTCTAGATGCTTAGATAAGTGTTTCCTAGATACCACTGGTAACAAATAAAAACAACAACAACAAAAAACCCATCAATACAATATGATTTCAAGTCGCATTTTTCCTAATACTGCTTCCCTGGACAGGTGGACTCTTTCTGTATCTTTAATTCCACCGCACAAGTAATACATCAACTCCGACATTCTCAGGTACTCTTTATAGACTGTAATAATAGTAATGGGTGTTAACACCATTCTTCTCACTGCCATCCACTGAACTTGCCACTTTGTTAACACAAAATTAAATTGAAGCCATTGAAATTCAAGCAACTTTATTAGTATGAAAGAGGCACAACTCAAAACTTAAATAAAAATGTTACTATAAGTCTGGCATCCTACAGATTCACTACTACTAGATAGATGGATGGTACAGCTCACTATGAGCCTTCTGATTTTCTGTGAATTTCTTCTGCCAGCATTTTTAACCATTCTTGACATTTTGTAGGGCTCCTTGGATAAAGATGTCGGCATGTCACAAGGCCTCTACCTACGCAGGACAGCACAACACAAAAAATGCAAACACACATCTACAACTCAAGCAGGATTCAAACACATGATTCCAGTGATTAAGAAGCCAAGACCCACGCACGCCTTTGACTGCATGAACACTGATCAGCCCTTCTTTGTTAACATGGAAGCAATTTAAGGAAAACAGCTGTGCAAAGTTTTTGCTGTAACCATGTTTTTATTCCTTCCCACAAAGGATTATTATTTCAGAAGTACAATATATGTCAATGGCATTTTCTTTTCTGCATTACTGGAACTATGAATCAAAATATGGATATAATGGCCATGCTTGTTGAAAATATCGCACACCATCTGAGATTTACTCACCTGTAGCAGCCTCTACATCTGCTTCCCAGAGTAACATCACTTCTGAGATATCTGGATTCAGAAATGGTCTATCATATTCCAACAAGATTTTGTCTACTGTGCCAAAGAGAAGCCTGTTAATGGAGTCAAGTTTGTACTGAGGCAAGGAAGGTGAAAAGAGAGATGAAGCTTTCTCCTTCAATACTCCGAGGGGAAAGGTGCAGATCACGTAATCTGCATAGTAACGAGAACCATCTTCACAAATAACTTCCACATTTGGCACGAGTTCAACGGACTTAGACTTCGATGATCCACTACTACCATTTTGATGCCTCTGACAGAAAGATGCTGATGAACCTTCACAACCTTCACTCGTGTTTATTCCTTTATTTTCACTGTTCACATTTAACATTTCTCCACAACTTTCTTCACATTGATTTAAATTCAAACATGAGTTCTTCTCATCTTCTGAAACAGCAGACTGAAATTCTTTTTCACTACTACCACCACGACTAGATGCTTCTGATGGTCTCCTTGGTTGCTCACCGGTTACTGTTCTGTCTGAATCATCAGAGTCATTCCCAGGGTCACCATTGGCAAGGATGTCAATTCCAGAGTCCCCACCAGGACTTGTGATGTCGGCTGACCTGTATTCACCTGCGTAATGCCACTGTATTGTTGTGACGACTCGTCTCTTACAGATGTTTCCCTGTGGGATTTGTCTAGATACAGGTTCAAGGATACTGCTGTACCCAGATGGAAGGACAATATTACCACCTTGGAGTTCTGTATAACTTCCCAGTTCCAATAAGTCTATCTCATTCATACTATGGCAGCCTGTGATGCATGTTTCACGTTTCAATAAACAATCGAATATGAGCTGTCGTAAATTTCGTTCCTCATCATTGGACGATCCCTCAAGATACAACGCAGTTTCAAGAGATATGTGCTCACCAACACTGTTAATTCCAGTTGGGGGTTGGTAATGGCACAAGAAGTATTCTTCACAACGCCGAAGAAAGCAAACATATGCCTCATATATCTCCTAGAACAAAATATTAGATTCAGTAACAGAAGTGTAAAATCATCCCGAGAAAAGGCAGAAAGGCCAGTTTTTGGGAGAGAGTTGAAGAATACAGGTTTTTAAGCATAATTAATAACAGTTCAAGAAAAAATAAGAAGAAAATTGTGATAAATTATTTACAAAGAGTCTATTATGAATATTAAAGTTAAAATAACTCATATACTTATTTTATACCGTGACTTAAATTTTGTTGCAAACTGCATGAAACTGATGACCGATGAAAGAAAGAAATTGGGTAGAGCATGACTGTGGCCCATTTTAACCCTAGATGCAGAAACTGACAATTTATCAACAGAGTAATGGGAGCTTCATTTTTTTTACCAATAAGTTTCCCCAACTTTCCATTTTATTGTTCTGCACTGCCACTTCTATGGTTAAGATGCTGAAGGGAGTGATAAATGCCACACAGAATACTTGGCTCTAGAATTTGACTCAAACACCTCCTTCAACATTTATGTTAATTTGGAAGGTTTGGAGTTAACAGCGGACATACCAATTATCACCAAAAGAAGCTATGGGCAACAAACACAAAATAGCTATATGCTCTGCAATTTGAGCCAAACACAGTTGAAAGAATCCTCATGATCAATAACAATGTTGCTTCTCAGACTAGTGGAACACTTCATCAATTGAAGTTTGAGGTTATGGCTTACAAAGATCTTCATTCTGTTTTCAAGGAACTAAAACATCAAAGAAGTTATGCATACTTAGGATAAACATTGAAAAAAATCCTTGAAGATTATATTAGAAAGGCTGTGGATAACTGGTATAAGTGTGGTTTAAAGAAAAGAAATTGTACTTAAATAAATAACTGAAGACTATGAAATACAACAATTATTTCAGCCTAACTTGCCATCTTAAACTAACTTAAAAATTTTGATTTCAAGTAAAGGAAGCTATGAGGTTAAAGACTACAGTGGTAAATAAAAATTTTAATATACAAATGCAATACCATCTTTAAAATTCTAGAAAAAGATAATTTCTTAAGTACCCACAAAGCAACACTCCATTGAAATGCAACAGGACATCACCAAAGATGCCAAGACAGACCATACCATATACAGTGATAATAAAGAAAAATAAACTGTAATATAAAAGTTGTATTTCCAGATACTCAGTAATTCATAACTGTAAATAAGAGGGCATAAAATCTTACGTGTTAACTGTGAGTGAATTGTAACAAGGTCCTGCCTTGCAACAGAGCTGGCAGTCACAGGTTCCAGATATATTTTTGGTTTGTTTGTTCAGGTCCTGCACGGTATGTCCAGATAATATTCATATGAAACACAATTGAGGGGATGAAAGTGATATGAGTTCAACCAAATTCTACTACAATATTTACTCCAAATTAAATGTAAAAATTTAATCAGGAATTTCTTTTCCTCTTTCATTAATAACCAAGGTTATTTTTATAGCAAGAATACTTCCATCAAAACACAAATGTTGAAGAATGCTGACTGTGAAACACATCATATGACAAACGAATGTTATACCAAACGGCTAACCTGCAAAACTTGAAATGGTATTTGTTTTCCATCTTCTGTAGCAGCTACTACTTTATGTGGTTTGGGAACATGTACTATATCAATTAAACCATTTGCCATCGCTATTTCATACATGGGATTTCCCAGAACACCATGAATCCAATTTGCTCCCAGTTCAACTTTATGGTTACCTGCAATGCAAGTTTAAGAATAAGCGTACTATGATTAAAACTATGCTGATGATACTTCACGTTTCATAAAGATGATGCTGATAATACTGCAAAATTTGTTAAACAGCAATGAACTGCCGGTAGCATCATAAACAAAATAAAAACATTGGTGAGGTTATGTCTACCTGTATTTATGGACACTATTCTTCCCCCGATCCTATTCTTTGCTTCTAGTATTTTAAAATCTGTAACACCATTTTTAACTAGGTGACTGGCCGCTGAGAGGCCGGCCATTCCAGCACCAATTATTAAAATTTTGCATCGATTGCTTGAAACGTTTTCTGATGCCGAAGCCATATTTACTTTTATTACGATCAGCTGACATAACACCATTAAAAAAAAACCCATTTATACTGCCATCTATTCTGGTAAAATGTAAACTACTACAGGGAATTTAGACATCAGTCAAAAGATGGCAGGGTAGTATAAATTTCCACTGACCATTGCAATTATATATCCAACTGACATCGTAAAACAATCAGTGGCGGCTCGTCCATAAGAGCTGCAGAGCTGTAGAACCCCCTATAATTTTTTGGATTCGTTTAGGTTGATTGGGATAAGTTATATTGGGTTAGGTTTCGTTTTGGGTTAGGTTAAGTTAGGTTAGGTTTAGTTAGGTTAGGTGGGGTAGGTTTATAGGTTAGGTTTGAAAAGGTTTTTTTGTTATATAATGGGTTATGTCTTGTCCGGGAGAATTTTTAGCGTGTTTATCGGGTGGTGATGGGGAAGTCCTGGAAACGTCCTGGAGAAATCCTGGATAATTCCTAGTGTAGTGCCGGAGAAGTCCTGGATAGGTTATGAGGAAATTCTTTGGACATCGAGAAGTACTGGTGAAATCCTGGAGAAGTTCTGGAGAAGTGCTGGAATGTTATGTGGAAGTCCTTAAGCGGTGAAGGGTTTGATCCTATACTCACTTCAACATTCTGCGTTAAAAATCCCAACTTAACGTTAATTTGTAAATGTCTTTGGCGAAGGTGAATCATCATTAGATTGTAGGAACTTAATCCATCGTACAGGTTTATTCTATAAACGCGACGTTTTGGATATTGGCTTTGTGTCCGTCTTCACCCGCAAGGAGAACGTAATCCGAAGGATCAATCGGATCAGTCCATAGCCGGAAACTAGCTCGTATAATGGTCCCCTCCGATGACACCGCTCCTCGGTCGTTTCCGAAATACTGCGGTTTAAGACGTGCCACATATAAAAACTAACACACTGTTTAAAAGTATGTGATATCGAGAACGTTTCCCTCACAACACTTGTGTGGGTATCAAATCTAAAACTTCTTGACGATGGTGAAGAGTCAATTGAATAAAAATTTACTTGGATATTATCCATCGTCTAGTAAATATAAAACGTAAAACGACGTTTCGGAGATGGGA